CAAAGTCTCTGGAAGTACATCATTACCTAAGAGAAGCTTGTGACTCTCATTCCCAGCTGCCCTCCTATTCTTTCCTCTGTAGGACAGCCCATGTATTCTCGTGAACATGGCGCTGCTGCATCTGAGCGACTTCAGTTGGGGACACCGCCTCCTCTGTTGGCAGCTCGTTTGGTGCCACCTCGCAACCTCATGGGATCCTCCATTGGGTACCATACCTCAGTCTCCAGCCCCACCCCTCTGGTCCCAGGTAAGCTTTGCTACAAATGGCCATCCACCTCACTGATCTTTTGTATCTGAAGCTGGCCCAGCCTAAGAGGTGACCTGGCATCCTGATCTGCTGTCACAGATTCCCATTAAAGCTCTCAAGTAGTTTTATTTTTCTGTTCCTTTGCTTCTTTGGTTTGTCCCTAGTGGCTGCTAGATGATTAGGCCTCCTGTGTGTCTGTCATCTCTAGTGTCTTCTGTATTTACTTTCGGTGCCTCAGTAACAAAGTCATGCTAGTTCCTTGCGTTAGTTTCTAATCAGGTAGATAGGAAGATAATATCTACTTGATTATTCTCTAATTAATTAATTATGCATTACAAGTAAAACTAAGTTAATTTTTCTTTAAAACAAAAACAAACATCTGGTTTCTTGCTCATCATGGATGAACATGTCCTTTTCACCCTCCTCCCCTTGTTGTATGGAGCGGTTGTATATAATGTAATGATTCTTGACAACTCTTTCCTCCTGTTGACATGTGTATTTTGAAGATTGTGGAGTTGCTCTGTAGATGTCGCATGAATTTTTTTTTTAATATTTCTCACTTTGCCTTTAGATCTCAGTTCATCATAATTAACTAAAGGATTTTTAAGTTTATTGGGGTTCTCTGTATTTCCAGGAATTATAGAATAAGGTCATTAAATATGTAACTTCTTTAAAACTTTCTGTAGCCTAAACTGTTGGAGATTTTCTGTGAAGAGTACCAAGTGGTAACTGAAAACATTTTTGTCATAATTTGCTGATGAGTTTTTTTTAAAGATGAAGCAGCATCTATTTTGTATTTCATACTACATATAATTTTTAGAGTTGACATTTATAAGCCTGGAAGCTGTTATTTTATATATCACTTCCAATCGTATCAGCCTTAAACACATTTAAGTTTAATAAGTATATTAGATTTGCTTTTTTTTTTTTTTGAGACAGAGTCTCACTGTGTTGCCTGGGCTAGAGTGCCGTGGCTTCAGCCTAGCTCACAGCAACCTCAAACTCCT